ACAGATAATGCATAATCATTTAAAGAAGCTGAAGCTGCTAGAAATTCATAACATGATTCATTTGTATTAACAACTACTGAATTTACAGATGCATTAAGAAATATTGATGAAGCATTAGATTTATTAACTGATCTATTTAAAAGTGGAGAAGTAAGAGCTGCATTCATTGAAGTTACTGATGAATAAAAACATAAAGTTAATAAAGCTTTAAGATAAGTTAAAGCTAATACTGAAAATTTTGGACATTAATATTCTTCATTTATTTAAGCATTAACTAATTTAACTGAAGGAATCAATTTTAAAGATAGATAAGTTTTAAAGGAAATGTGTGATTTCTTAAATAGTTTAAGATTAAATATATTTGATGCTTTAACTAAAGCTTATAAAGATGAAGACAGTTAAAAATAATAAGATGAATTAAGAAGATAATAATTAACATCTGAAAAAGCTGTATTTGATTAATAATATGCTGATTTCTATTAAGAAAGAGAAGATAAAACTGTTAGAATATCTGATGTTTAAACTATGATATCAACTAGAGAAGCTGATCTTAAAGCTTATTAAGATAGATTAAGAACTGAAAATAATAATTATTCAGCCAATCTTAAAATACATGATGATATTGTGGTATTCTTATCAAATTTATATAGTCATCTGTTTAATAAGAATTAGCAGTCTTAGCTAAAGCATTGTAAGTGGTTTAAACTCCACCATTCTTAGATTTCTTAAATGGAAGAATTGCTAAAGCATGAGTTAATGCAATAAATCATTATTAATAATTCATCATTATTAAGTTACCTTCTTTTTTTTGATGTCCTATTATTTTCTTTTCTTTCTTTTCTAAATTCTTCTTCCTTTTAGTAATATTTTGAGCTGTCTTCAAAACCCCTAAATTGTTAATCTAATTTCAAGAATAAAAAGTAAATAGATTAAAATATTTTAATTGTTTTTGGAAATGATTTGCATAAATACAAAAAGAAATAAGAAATATTCAAAGAGAATGATAACAGTAGAAAGCAGAATTACTTCAATATTAGAAGATATTATACATTTATTCTCTAGTTTTAATTAAAATATGACAATTTCAATCAATTATTAATTATTCATACAATTCTACACCTTCAATCAACATTATAGGCAAAAATTTTTCTTTTTAATCAATAGAAACTATTATAAATTTCATTTATAATACATATTTTTTATTGGAATTAAGACTTTTTTGAATAATTTGTATGAAAATTCTAAAGATCTTGATTATAATCCATTTTGATTAAGCAATTGCACATATATAAACTGTATTTTTAATTTTAATTTAAAAGTGATAAAATTATAAAATAAATCAGAATTAGTAGTTTTAAGCATAATCCAATTCTTCATCTTATTCATCAATATTAAGCTGTAATCCATTGGATCGACACCAAACTCGATATAGATTTTTAAATAACATAGAAACAGTCAAAGGACCAACTCCTCCTGGGACAGGTGTAATGAAACTGACTTTAGTCAGAGCCTAAAATAAAGGAATATTTTAAACTTTATGAAATTCAATATCTCCTACAATTTTATTGGTTCCTGGAATCCTAGTAATTCCAACATCAATAACTTTTGCCCCATTTTTGATCCATTCTCCTTTGACCAATTCTTTATGACCTGCACATGAAATCACAATGTCTGCCTAATGAATGATTTATATATATATATACTTTTTCTACATGTTCTTAGACTGTGGTTTCGGAATGACAAATGGTGACTTTTGCATTTCTTCTAAGAAGCAATACTGATAATGGGAATCCAACTAACTGACTTCTACCAATCACAGTAACATTTTGATTTCTCACATCTATTTCCTAGGAGTCTAAGATGTGAAGCACTGCAGCTGGTGTACAAGGTATTATGTCGTTATCCTCCCCATTTTGAAGAAGATTTTGAAAATTTGCCATGTGTAAACAATCTACATCTTTACTTGGTTTAATTTCATTAGAAATTTCTAATCTTGATAAATGAGGTGGCAAAGGAAGCTTGATATAATTATAGGATATACTTGAACAAGGATTCCATCAATGGATCCTTACTAATTTAAAGTTCTAATTTAATGAACAATCTCTTGCTGAGATATGCTCTCTGGAAAATGATGGAGTTCATGATGTACTTCATTCTCTTCACAGAGAGCAATCTTCTTACGAACATATGTTAAAGATGATGGATTATTTCCAACCTAAATAATGGCCAGACCAGGTCTCATTAAAGCAGGGTGTTCCTTAATTTTATTATTGAATACTCAAGGTGTGATAATTTATAAGCTAGGCTATTCTAGAGATGGTTTCTTTAGCTAATAAGTTTCCATTTAAGATCATTTTATTATATAATACAATAAATAATCTATATAACGTGAGAACATTTAATAATAGCAATAATCTAATAATAAATTATGATATATTCATGATAAAGCCATTTGGCTTATAAATATTTTGTAAATTTAATAGATGTGTAAATAAATTTAATGAATTATCCTTATCAGCCATATAGGCCATATTCAAGAGTACCAAATACTTCAGTACATAACCCTAATATTATCTCTTATGTTGATTCAGTACTCTCTAAATCTAGAAATAATTACACTTCTGTTCAATTAGACTCATAACCAAAGTATCAAACATACTAGACTAATACAATTAAAACCGATACAGATTTAAAAATCGCAACCAATTCTCCCCTAATTTTAACACAAAAATCAATGGTTATTTAACCTACTTTAAAATCTAAATAAGAATACCAATCTCCAAAATAAATGGAATCACTATCCTTTTAATCAGAGATCATTTCTACAATTCCACTTATTCCATTGATGTCTAATGTTAGAGAAGAATATTCTAAGGTATATAATTTATTCATCAATAAGAAATAAGTTTCAACACCTGTTAGTTAAACAAGTTCTCCAATGAAAAAACCAGAAAAACCAAAAGAGAAATATAAGAATTTCTCCATCATCAAAAAACTTGGAGATGGATAATATAGCGAAGTGTTTCTCGCAAAGCACACACAAACAGGCTTTTTGGTTGCCTTGAAAGTCATTCAAAAATCTTAAATAATTAAAGAGAATATGCAAGCTTAATTAGCCTGGGAAATCAAAATATAATACCTTCTCGAACATCCAAATATTACTAAATTATACACTTTTTTTTAAACTCGTATATTATTTTAAATATTATAGCAACTGAAATTGTGCTTGTATTAGAATATTGCTCACATGGATAATTAAATGCTCTTTAATAAATTCAACCTATGAAAAAGTTTTAAGAGAGAATAGCAGCTTAATATGTATAACAAATTACTTTGGCATTAATGTATATTCATAATTAAGATGTTATTCATCGGGATATCAAACCTGATAATATCCTACTAAGTTTTGGGCAGGTTAAATTAGCTGATTTCTCTTTTTGCGTTTATTCTCCAGATGAAGACAGATAAACTTAGTGTGGAACCATTATTTATGCTTCTCCTTAAATTTTAGAGGGTGAAACCTATGATAAGAAAAGCGACATCTGGGGATTAGGAGTATTGACCTATGAATTATGTTTTGGGAAACCACCTTGGAAAGAGAACTAATAAGAATTAATGAAAACTGTAATTCTTTTCGCTATTAGAGGCTTGCTTTATGATTCCTTATACTGCTTCCAGAGATTTAAAAGATTTTATTGAGAATCTTATGAAACGACTTTCTCGAGATCGATTTACCTCACAACAAGCGTACAATCATACATGGCTTCAAAGAATTGCATAAATTGTACCCTATTATATAAAAAACAATGAAACTTTATTTTTATGATATAAATATTCATTTTATTATTAAGAATATTATAATCTAACCTGCTCATTATATACATTTTTTAAATTTATATGCAAAAAAACTTCTGAAGAATTTAAAGTAATATTGTATATAGTTTTATTACATAAATTAAAAATTATAAAATTATTTGGAATTATTATGATTATCAATTTGCAAGTAAGCATTCATAAGAGCTATTAAATCAAATTAAATAAGTTTGAGTAATTTATTATAAGTTTACGTTTTCAGATTATTATGATTAATATTTTTGTTAAAACTAAAATAATACCATTAAAATTAAATTTTCAAAAAAATTGGGATTTAAATTAATAGATAATGAAAAATATGTATTATTATCATTAATATTTATGATATAATAATATTCTATAATTATTATTGATTATATGTTAATTAATATTTTGATGAATTATTATTCAATAAGAGTTTGCCCATTTAAAAATAATGAACTATATAATTAATAATGATGTGTTTGAAAGAGAATAATTAGTATAATTAATTTATTGATATACGTAATTAAAATATAAAAATGCTTCTTCCTCATTTTGCAATTAAATTAAAATATTTATATATTGTTTCACTATTATAAGGTTCACGTATTTATTTTGATTATTCTTTTGCATATAAAAGTATTTAACTAGATCATTTAAAAATAATATAATATTTTGTATATATTTAGATTACTATTTAATAAATTTTAAAGTAATTCATTTAAAATCATATAATATTTTGTATATAAAATAATTATATAATAAACTTTAAGGTATTTACATAATTATTTCAAATAATTTAATGCTTTAAATAAATTATATATTCAAATCTTAAGTATTAAACAGGAATTTAAGAATTGTCTCTTATAAAACTTAGTTTAATTGTAAAGCCTACTCCCCTCTTGTCCAATTTTTAATTCTTTATAAGAAACAATCTGAATTTCCAATTATTCTTTTATTTATTAAATGCTGAAATTTAACTATTTTTTTTCTTTTAAAATAAAATTGAAATCCCTAAAGTTGGAATTAATTCAAAATAAGAAAATTAATTACTAGCTTTTTTAATTCAATTAGTTTTTCTTATTCTTTTTCTAGAATGATCAAAGCATTTAAGAAAGGATCAACATCAATCTTATTTCTAGATATGATTAAATAACTAATTTATGCTTCACTCTAAAAATGTTTTTCAAGTATTATAAACGTGTCAAAGTATTATCAACTTTAGATTTAGCCACATCTAATTTCTGCTACTTATGCCCACCTTTTAATGATGCATTTTTATCTGCTCTTTATACTTTTCAATTACTATTCATTTAATTAAATCATTTATGTTTTTTTTTCTCATTAGATTTATTGATTGGGTTCATTGAATTTTATTCTAATAAATCTAATAGGGCTTTTTCAATTTTTTTTCTGCAATTTACACCCTTTTTTTGCTTCATTAATAGAAAAAATAAGAAATATCAATATCCATAATCTGAAAAATTTATTCTTTTAGTATTATTATTTTTTTTTATTTTTTATTTTTTTTAGTAAACTCTTTTCTTACTCCTCTTTTTCTTGTTGTCATTTATATTCTATGAGTAAACTCTATTTTCTTTTATTTTTTTCTCTAAAATAATCTTAGGCTATTATAGAAGGCGAATAGGAGTTTCCCTGATTTTTAATTCTCTATTTCACGAATTTTTGTTTTTTTTTGAAGTTTTGGCTTTCTTTGAATCCTGGAAAATCGTATTAAACAATATCTCCATTCTATTTTTATAATTTTCTATTTTTCTATTTTCTTTCCGATTAATCCTCTCAATAAGTAAAGCAATTCAAATAAAAGATTTTTACTGTTCAATTTTTATTCATCTTACAAAAAACCATTATTACAGGGCAATGGTTATGATTGCTTTAATAGCAAAATAAGTAACAATTTATGAAATATTAGTTATTTCTCAATTCGAACTTATTTCATTTGGTGTGGATATTTATATATAATCACGACGTCTTATATGTATCAACGGGATCCTAATATAAAAACTCTGCAATATCATTAGTCTATTATTCTATAAAATGCACAGCGTTTTTGAATGCTAATATTTCCTAATTGGTCTTATATGAAGGTTCTAATTCCAAATCTTTATAATTGAAGCAACTATAAATAAGCATTGGTTTTTCATTTGTTTCAAAATTCATTTTTAATATTAAATAAAATTATCACACTTTTGTAAAATGATTTAAATAGAATAATACTGTTTAGAAAATAATTATATAAAAAAAATATTAACATGATTTAAATATTCATTCACCCTTTACTTTTTGATAAACCTTGATTAAAAAGGCTACCCCAAAGATGGAGAGATAAAAATAGAATAAAATTTAACTAACTAAATCGTTAACAAATAGTAATCCTATAATTGAAGACATAATCAGAGCCAAATTTAATGAAAATATATATATTTCTGTTGTATTGGTCAGATAATTCATAAAGGCTGAATAGAATGTATTATTTCCATAATATTTGACAAAAACATTCATTGAGTATAAATTTATCAGCAAGTTACCTACAGATATAATGGTAAAAAAATTAATAAGTACAGATGAAAATAATTAAGTGAGTAATATAATATGTAATGATAGAGCAGCTTTAAAGGTAATAAGTGCAGTAGTTTGATGAATAAATAATAAGGAATGAATGACAAAGATTGTAATAAATAACAACAAGCCTTTATAATAACGTTTCTAAAAATTAGTAGCTAATGGTAAAAGCCGAGATTATTTTCTATGAGAATTTTAAGTGATAACAGTTCTCAAAGGAGATTTCATTGTAGATTAACCAGTTTTTTAAGGAGTCAATTATTCTTCTGGTGCTATTTAGACAGAGGAATCACGTATTCTTTTCTATATTCATCATTAAAATAGTTTACTTGAACAATAAAATATTAACTCAACCCTAAAATCCCATAGACAACAAATACTGCTGCTAATGTTTCATAACAAAATATTCCCTATTTGTCATTATCAATTATATAAGATTCTTCAACTATTATAGTGAGTATGTTTATTATCCAAAAGATAACACCAACAACAATTGAGAGTTTTGGGGATTATGGTAAGAAACCTAACATTATGTCTGATTCCAAATTAATCAACCAAAATGACATTTTATTATATTATATTATATGAAATTTATAAAAACCTCATACTCAAAAAAAAAGTAATTTAAAGCATTTTTATTTGATAAAACTTATTAAAATGATTAGTAAAATAGTGATTAAATTACATCAACTCATTTTTATTCAAAAAATTATATTGATAAATGCTGAATGAAAACCTATATGAATTAAAAAATTAAATTACCTCTTGAATTTATTTTATCAAACTTCTCGTTAATTCTTAACATTTATTATTTTGTTATAAATTTTCCATAAAGGAATTTGACTTAGAATTGTATAGTTAGTTATAGAATTTAATTAACCAAATTATTTTGATGATCTCANTAGAATAATACTGTTTAGAAAATAATTATATAAAAAAAATATTAACATGATTTAAATATTCATTCACCCTTTACTTTTTGATAAACCTTGATTAAAAAGGCTACCCCAAAGATGGAGAGATAAAAATAGAATAAAATTTAACTAACTAAATCGTTAACAAATAGTAATCCTATAATTGAAGACATAATCAGAGCCAAATTTAATGAAAATATATATATTTCTGTTGTATTGGTCAGATAATTCATAAAGGCTGAATAGAATGTATTATTTCCATAATATTTGACAAAAACATTCATTGAGTATAAATTTATCAGCAAGTTACCTACAGATATAATGGTAAAAAAATTAATAAGTACAGATGAAAATAATTAAGTGAGTAATATAATATGTAATGATAGAGCAGCTTTAAAGGTAATAAGTGCAGTAGTTTGATGAATAAATAATAAGGAATGAATGACAAAGATTGTAATAAATAACAACAAGCCTTTATAATAACGTTTCTAAAAATTAGTAGCTAATGGTAAAAGCCGAGATTATTTTCTATGAGAATTTTAAGTGATAACAGTTCTCAAAGGAGATTTCATTGTAGATTAACCAGTTTTTTAAGGAGTCAATTATTCTTCTGGTGCTATTTAGACAGAGGAATCACGTATTCTTTTCTATATTCATCATTAAAATAGTTTACTTGAACAATAAAATATTAACTCAACCCTAAAATCCCATAGACAACAAATACTGCTGCTAATGTTTCATAACAAAATATTCCCTATTTGTCATTATCAATTATATAAGATTCTTCAACTATTATAGTGAGTATGTTTATTATCCAAAAGATAACACCAACAACAATTGAGAGTTTTGGGGATTATGGTAAGAAACCTAACATTATGTCTGATTCCAAATTAATCAACCAAAATGACATTTTATTATATTATATTATATGAAATTTATAAAAACCTCATACTCAAAAAAAAAGTAATTTAAAGCATTTTTATTTGATAAAACTTATTAAAATGATTAGTAAAATAGTGATTAAATTACATCAACTCATTTTTATTCAAAAAATTATATTGATAAATGCTGAATGAAAACCTATATGAATTAAAAAATTAAATTACCTCTTGAATTTATTTTATCAAACTTCTCGTTAATTCTTAACATTTATTATTTTGTTATAAATTTTCCATAAAGGAATTTGACTTAGAATTGTATAGTTAGTTATAGAATTTAATTAACCAAATTATTTTGATGATCTCAGATAGTTAATAAATAATTTAAATTACATGAGAGGAATATTATGAAAATCAAGAAATTATTTAAATTATACATCTGATAATAATTATCTCATTAATGATTAATTTATTCTAAAATATTAAATGAATGATTAGAGTTAGAAAAGTTTATGTATGGTTAATAGTTTATTAATATTTTTTGGTAGCAATAGTTTTATAAAGCTTTTGATTTATTTATAATTAGGTAGATATTTCTTTTGAAGGGTTTTACAATAGATAAAAAATATTGGATAAATATGGATATATATATATTTTACTTATGTAATATAATTATCACTCAAATGATACCGATTTTGTTGGCCAAATTAAGTGCATCATTTTCACCTCCTAATCTTATATATGCCTTCTTCTTTCCACCAAATGTATTTAAGATCTAATTATAAGCTTAGATTGTATACATTGACTTTTCTAACTTTAACATCATAAATTTTAGAAAATGCTCTTTTTATTTATGGTTTAGTTGATTTTGAATTAACATAGAAAACCATAGTGTTTTCATCTTCCATTTTTTTCATATCCTTTTCTGTAATGAGTGGATGTTTAAGGACATTTTAGAAATCTAAACCCTTATTGATTGGTTTTAATTATCTTGTTAATCTGGTAAATTTAGGTTTTCTAGTTAATGCTAATGGTTTAGTGGTATGGAATCTATTTTAGAAATGTTTTCTGGCTCTGACTACTTTTTTGGCAACTCTGGTATTTTTTGCTGCCTTTTAAGCTTTTTAGGTTGTAGTTGTCTATCCCTTTGGCATTATATTTAAAATAAATTTTTAAATCTTTTTGGTATTAATTAACAAAGATAAATAAATAATCAAAAAGAACACTTACAACTTTGATTAGATGAATGTTTTCTAAAATCTTAAGAAAATGTAAATAATTATTAGATGTGTTAATAATTTGAATATCTTTTTGTTAACTTTCATCATCTGATACTTATAATTTGGAATGATCAAATATGGATATTACCTTGTATAATCTTGTTAATTTATTGATGAAAAGATCTTAATAATAGTTTATTTAGTTATAGTCATAGATCTTCTATGTAGATTCTTGTCTCTTGATACTATTTTAGTATTAGAAACGAAAATTTCAATTCATTTCAACACAGCAGAGACCTCTTAGAATATGTTTTTCTTCCTATTATGCTACACGTAATTCAGTATTTACACCCCTGATTGATATATTAATTTAATTACCAAATACTATTTTGATTTCTAGTTTAACATTTGCTTATAAAAGATGTAATAGTATACTCATCAAAATCTACAATTCAATTATTTATTTGATCTAAGCTGTTCATGTATCATATACTATAAAAAACTGTATCATAACCTCAATAATAGGTTAAGTTATTGATCTAAATCCCTCTTATTCTGCAATATGCCACATTTATAAATTTCACTTATTCATATTTATTATAACTATCTTAGATTCCTTATAATATCAACATTAATATTATTAAACATGCTATTCCAACTGTACTTATTAAATTCATTGCAAATTAATTTTTCTAAAATTACTTTATGAATGAAGTATTACCAACTAAACTCGAAAACTAAGAATAAAATGTTTAAGTAATGCTAACTTAATCAATAATACTAATTATTCAAATTCAGATTTGATTAAGAAGGATTACTTCATCCAAATTATAATAAAAATCAAGGAAATAATTTTCATATAAGCTCCAAAATAAACCACACTCTTTTTCAATTATATTATACATAATGTCAGAAATAACTTCGAATTAACCTCAGCTTGAGTCTCAATTCCTTTATGAATTAGTAAATCAGCAACAACCATAATCGAATGTCCAAAATCAACAATCTCAACATGCAAATATTGATCCACCTATTAAATTAACACATGATCAATTATAATAAACTAACAATCTTGATCATATAATATAATTACTTATCTAAGAAGACAATTAAGATCCCTAAGATTAAAATCATCATTCATCTCCATAACCAATTCAAAATTAAGAACATTAACAACCAGAAGACTTAATCCTATCTCATAGATAAGATATCAATTCTTAAGTCATTTTGGCTGCATTAGAAAGTAATGATGAAGATAAAAAAAGTTAAGAAGCAGATTGCAAATTACTCTATAAAAAATAAAGATAAACTTCTATTATTATTGATGATGATGATATTTAAGATGACCTAACTAATTCTAAAAAGACAACTAAGAATGAAAAAAATAATGTTCCTCCTCCTTAATAAGATCCTTTACCAATTACATAGAATGTATCAGAAAAATAAGAAGTTGTCTTACCTCCACCTTCTTAGAGATCATCAGAAGATGTACCATAACTTGAAATCTAGAAACCCTTTGAAGACAAACCATCTACACTTGAACACATAACAAAACCTGAACCTGCATTGAAGAAATAATAAAAAGAGTTTTTCTCATTTACACAACCAATAACAACAACAACTTCATCCTAAAAAAAGAATAAGAATCCTATTGTTATTGATTCTGATGATGAATTACCATAACCACAAACTTCAAATATTAGCATTTTAAAATAAAAGATCGAAGACACTACTCCTTCTTCATTTTTCAGAAAAAAAACTACTGAAAACTAACCACCTATTGAAATAGGAGAAAATGACAATTTTTAATCTAATCAAATAGATAAATAACAAAAAATAACTTAATTATTATAACAACCTATTCCTCCTCCATAAAATAAACCATTAAATTAATAACAGAGAAAACATTAAGCCTTATTGGAAGAAATAGTTTAAGAAGATGATGGTATAGTATAGGATATAGAAAATCAAGATTGGACTCTATTTACTCAATTAAATAATATGATAGCTCCTAAGTTTTCAGGGTAATTTAGAATGTTGGAATATAAAGACAATACACAAGATATGATAAGACTCTTGTTCGGAGAAACTAGATTCAAAGAACTAATGAAAACTTGTCAAACTAATGAATCTGAATTCTGGTTATATTTGGGAACCAAATTAATCATGGGTTATATGAGATTGCCAGATATTAATGAGTATTTCTATGGAGAAGATTGGATTGCAGGTGGTGGTATTAAATCTATAATAACATAATAATAATTTGAAGATATTGATTAGAGAGTGGAAATTATATAACCAAAATTATAGACAGAATCTTAATTAGCAGTTAAATTGGAATTCAATGCTTAAACTTTCTTTAGATAAGAATATCTACCTTAATTTACATAGGAATTAAATGATAGATTTAAGAAATTGATATTGCCAGGTTAGGAACTATTCTTAATATCAAATTTTTATACTCTCATTTATTCAACAAAAATACAATGGTATCAATTAATAGATAAAGAATCTGGAATAATTTTGTAATAATTTTTTTGGGCAACTCCAATGAATAAGACATTAGATCTGAATAATCATAGAGATTTGTAAAAACGATTAAGAATGATGTTTGAACCTTATCATCTTGGAAGACACATTGTTTATAGTTAAGGATTACTCAATGCTGAATCAGTCTTACAATTATACTAATAGAAAATATTTGTTTGCACTGATCTTATGTAACATTCATTATTACCACATCCACCTACAGGAGATCAATAAGTATTTTATTCTTCTAAAAATAAAGAACCTATTTATTTATGTTATAAAAATTAACAATGGAGTACTTGTGTTTCAATACAATCCTTATAATAAAGAAATTAATATTTATAAGAATTGTCCCAAATGTAATTTGCTGAAGAGAAAATAGCTATCTAACCATCTGAACCTGAAAATACTTCAATCAATTCAACTTAAAAAATCATATTTATTTTTGTTATCGAATCCATCTTACATAACATTAGAATCCTAAAAAAATAAGAAATTAAGTCTTTCAAAACTGAATTAGCTCTATAATTAATTAACAAAATTATTGATTATAAGAATCCTAAACCTTTATTAAGAAAAGATGGTTCACTTTAAGTTGATAGATCTTGTCAAACAGATTAAACAGTTGGTATAGTTAATGATCAATTATATCATTGTCCAATACATAACGGAAATGCAAGATGTTAAGTGTGTTTGAGTAAGAGTATATTATCCAAAACTACTGCTTCATGTTTAGGATGTAATAAAGTTTTAGGTACAAATATATTTCTTTGCATTTATCCTTGTTTTCGATTGTTTCATCTCAATCCTAAACTATATCTAAAAGAAGGTATGTACTATTAAATTGTTTGTGGATATGATTAATATGATTAAGATTAAGAAGATGAAGAAGTCGATTAACAATTTCTAGATGCTAATTTGAGATTTAAACCAGATACTTCAGAATTAGATTCTATTTATGCTAAATCATATTAGGATTTCAAGAATATGATACCTATTAATTATGAAGATAATTATCATAAGAAAACTACAATTGTTGTTATATAAAGAGAAAAAGGTGGAAATCGTAGAGGAGGTGGTAGAACCAAAGCATCTAGATAGTAATAATAATCAATATAAAATTAAGGTGCATAAGGTAATAATTTTTAATTTAATTTTATTAGCTGAATAAGGTAATTAGGGTGATACTTAAGATACACCAAAAAAAGTAAGAAAATAGAATAAGAAATCAATTAATACACCACAATAATAAGGATAAACTGAAAAAGAGACCGATTAAGCTAGTAATGCAATGTTTGACTTTTTCAGTTAAGTGAGAAAATAGGCTTATAAGAAATAATCATAATCATGATACACAAATCAAATAATTAATTTTTTATTTATAGTTTTATTTATATATTTAATATACTCTATATGATTAAATAAATATAAGAATAATGAATCATCATTATTTATCTAATATTAAAGTAAATATTTTGAGATCATTTATTAATGGAATAGTTTAGGATAATTTAAACCCTAATTATTAGAGATATTTGATTTGTGATCCTTAACTTGAATTAATTTTGATCTTCACTCTCAATGCTTACAAAACATTTAAAATATATTTAATAAATTCTTGTATCAATTCTAAATAATTACCCACCTTTCTATACCATTTGGCTATATATAATTTATTAATGATTACTACTTACCCTTCCTATTTCTATAATTGACAGAATCCCATATGACATTTATAATACTTATTTTATAGTTAGTACACACTTAGCAAAGTTCTCTCTTGTTTATTGTTTTCGAGATCCTTTTCACTGAAAACTTATAATTCCACTTATCCAATCTATCTGGCATGACTACTATCATTTGTTACTCTTATTTTAGAGGGAGTATTCGAAATCCCTTTGATATTTTTCAAACCTGCCCAACTCTAAGATTGATTAGTTAATTTCCACCAATCTATTGTATTTTATCTAGGTTTATTAGTTATCTTTGATTCTTCTGCTTATTTAACAGAATTCAAAAGAGAATGAAAAGAATCAAATAGATAATATACGTCTGTTTCCTAATTTAAAATATCAAGATAATTTGCAATCAATTGTTTATCATTAGTTATATCCATGATATGATATTGTTTTAAGTATTGCAACTATTATAATGATCTAGGGACTGAATTGTTTCTACTTTCATACATTTATTTATTTATATATATATTTATATAATAATTTTTATTTAAAATACTTGTCATCCTTGTATAATAGCAAATCTGATGTAATTTTAATAATTACTGCAATATTTCTATTGATTTTCATTTTTCAATACTTGAAGATCAATAGAGGAATTAATTTCCCTTATATTAATGAAATCATATCATTGAAATATTAATGTGATATTAGTAGTTCCTATACTTTTAACATATGATTAATTATATAATAAATGAACAAACTATATTTCCATTTTTCAGATCAATTTTATTTACTTATTCTCACTTTTGATATTCGAAACATTGCATTGATTTTCTTAAGAAATTCTATTGGTTGATGTTTACTTAATGGATTGATGTTAATAATTTTGCTGATTTCAAAGTCATCAAAAGATATTTAATTAATTAATGAGTGATTCGAAAGGATTTCTGCATTGGCTTTTTTTCAAGAAATGGCATCCAGTGCCATCAGTAGGAAGTACAATTGCTTTGTTCTCAATAATTGGTGTGATTTTTGTAGCTTTGGGAATAGTGATAACAGTGATTAATAATAACATTTAAGAAGTCACAATATACAAATATGATCAAAAATGTTCACCTGTTGAATATAATAAGAAATGTAGTTTTATGTACAAATTGGATAACATGAAAGCTCCCATTTATTTTTATTATGAACTTGAGAATTTTTATCAAAATCATAGACGATATGTTAAATCAAAATCATCAACTCAATTATCAGGAGAAGAAATTTCACTTTCAGATGCAGAGAAATATTGTGATCCTATCATTTATAATAAAGATCTGGAAGTATGGTAATAGGATGTATATGTAACAGAACAAAATATTCTTATTCCAACAGAACGTAAACCAGATGATATTGCCAGTCCTTGTGGATTAGTAGCTAAGAGTTTCTTCAATGATACATATACATTAAGTTTAGAAGAGAAAAATATAGTTTTAAATTAAACAGGAATCAGTTGGCCTAATGATAAAGGTAAAAAATATAAAAGAGCACCTAATTCTGAAAGTACTTAATGGATTGACCCTGAAAATGAGCATTTTATTGTTTGGATGAGAACTGCAGGATTGCCTACATTTAGAAAATTATGGGGACGCATAGAATAAGATTTAGAAGAAGGTGAATACAAATTTGAATTTGAAAATAACTACAATCCTTAAATGTTTGCTGGAGCTAAGAATATTGTACTTTCTACATCAGGACCTTTTGGAGGAAAGAATTTATTTCTTTCAATTGCTTTCATAGTTGTTGGTGTAATTTAATTGTTGATAGCTTTGGCATTTTTAATTAAAAAAATAAGAGCTGGAAATTCATTTGGTTAAAAAAATGAATGAATGATTGAGATGATTATAATCAAATAAATATTATATATTAATTTTAATGCAATATTGTTCAAAACATAAAGATTAATAAATTGATTTGATTTGTTTAGAATCAGCATGCAAATCACATTTAGCTTGTGTTTAATGTTTAATTGAAGATCATTCTGATCATCCAGAATAATGTTTATTTATAGATGACATTTTAAATGTAATTAATATTTATACATTTAATATAGAATAATATTAAATTGGAAAACTCTAAAGTGATTGATTTTATAACAAAACTTAGAAGTAAATAAGATTTAATTAGTGTTGTGGATAGAGAATTTGTTTAAATATAAAATGAAATATTGTTGAAATTTGATACCTTTTAGTATTAATAATATATCAAATTATTTTAGAGAAGACTTATAAGTTTATTATAATCAATTGACTCCTAAAGAAATTCAATAAAAAGAGATAGAATTTTTTGATTTACTTAAAAATGTTACAAATTGCCAAGAAATAGTAAAATTGTATTAAATCTATTAAAATGGTGATATAAACAAAGTAAAATTAAATTAAGAATTAAATGCTATAATTAATAAACCTGAGATTGAATAAAGCAAATAATAAATATTTACAATATATAAATGTTTATTGTAACAAAGCTTGAAATTGTAAAAGAAGGATTTAAATGTATATTAATATTGTTATTATAGTAAATATAAAATGATATATTGGAAACACTTTAAGAGATACCTAAATTATTATCCTTAGAGAAATCAATCTAATTTTATAGTTTATAGGGAAATAAAAGTACTATTGAAAATGGAAATATAATTACAATAACATCATAAGATTAATAAGTAGTAATTGTTTCATAAAATACATTCTCATATCCTAATAAATATTAATTTACTATATAAATTGAACAATATGATACTAGTTAAAATTAATAATTACAAGTTGGATTTGCTCATCATTCTAAATTAATGAATTATAATTATTTCTTTAGATAAAATAGTAGTGCCTATTTTGGATTAAGTAATACTGGTAGAATCAATTTCTCTGTTTAGAAACCAGAAGGCAAGATTATAGGAGAATCTGTGAGATAGTAAATAATAAATATTCATATTATTTTAGAGCATTAAAAGAGAAAAGACCTGCTCATATTACATTATCATTAGATATCTAAAATAAATAATGTTTATTATAATATGAAGATATTAAGATTGAATATAGCAAAAAAAAGTGTTCAAAATTAGGATTTGGAGGAGAAACTGGTGCTGAATAATTCTTTTAGAAAAATAAGAAATTTGTATTGTTTTTTATTGGAAATTTGGCAGATATGAAATGCAAAGTGGTTTGAATATAATAATAATAAAATATGGGATGAATTTATTTATATGTTCATTTAAAGTTCTCAGAATACCATTTTTTAGTGAATTCATCACAATCCAATAATTAAAATTTCCATCCATTTATTTAAACTTCATTCCCTACAATTAAATCTCCAGGAGTAAAGAATTCATTATTATTATTTACATTCTTATACTTTCTTTTTTCCAAGAATTTACCATCAGGAATACCTAAATTATATTTATTTAAAAGATACCTGAATTTCTAACAGTAGGTTCATAGATCAAAAGACTATCGTCATTTAAAAAGAATGTTATAACAAAGACTCTGTCCTTATCTTCAGGTTTTGTAGTATTAAACATAGCCAAAAATCTGAGATTGACTTGATTATCCACCCATTTGAAGAAATCTTTTTTGGGAGGTTTAGGTTATAATCTATAGATATATCCAAGAGAATCTTGTTCATCACCAATACCATTATGTGGTGGGATTATAATATCTAAAGTATATTAATATAATAATATACTTGATCTTTCTTAATGAACATATTCTTCTTAACCACCTAAAGGGAAATCGACATTGAATTTTTCAAAATAATATTATCTTGTAAATTGATCACAACCCTTGATAAGAACTTTTCGATTATAGATAATAAGAGGTTATCCATATTAAATATCTTATGGTCTAATAAAATCCTCAGCATATGTTTATCCAGGTTAATTGAGTGAGAATTTTCTGGGTAGTTTTTATCTTCTCAACATCATAGGGAATGGAACTCTTCCTGAATTGGCTGAATTGATTTCTTTGATTTCAATAGTATCATCAGCCAAATAATAATGAAGAATATAATCAATATCTGAAAATACATAAAATTTAAGGACCTAATGATTATATGTAAAAATAATACCTTTCTATCATTTTCTAAGAATTACTTTTAAGAAGTAACTTTACCACCTCCTAATTTATGTTCTAAATAATCTTTCATCACAGTATCTTTTTGTGGTATGAATTTAGTCATAGTTTTAGTTTCAAAAGAGTCTGATTGTGGTACAAATGATGGTTCTTATGGTATTCCTTATAACTAAAGATTAGATGGAATTTTACTTCATAGAATTCTCTTGTATATTGATCACAATCATATAGACGAATAGTCTTACCAAAAATGATGATATCTTAGTTGATTCTGAAATCTTCAGGGAGTATAAAAGTCTTTGAATTATCTGCTCTTAATACCTAAAATAGATAAGATATTATACTTTTTATCTTTTAAGAAATGCTCCTTATGGAACACCACTATTTTCTTATTTAGGTTCAGTTATACTAAGTGAATGGTCTTCAAGATAATAAAAGATTGTAATCTTGCGAATACGATAATTTTCAAGTGCAGATTCAACTACTGCTTCTTTAAAGTAACCACTGAATCTAAGAACATGTCTATCCATTTTAACCCAACTTGGTTAATATAATTCTTCTGAATCATTGTTGGAATTCTATGATGTAACTGTTATTTTACTTTAGGTAGATGCATTGCATGAGTTGTACTCATATAATCAGGATTGAACATTCCTGTTTATGGTGGTATTTGAATTGGTTATTTACGAGGTACAGCATATTCTTTATTAGATAAATGATTGATTTCTCTATTTTATTCTTGTTTGGTTGATGAGACTTTTCTAAAGTTTGGTTTCTATTTAATATTATGTATGTGTTACATCTATTTCTTAAGTAGGAACAAAACCTGGTAATTTAGGGAAAGCAGATGCCATTTAATTAATATATTATTATTCATTCTGATAATTCATCAGTTGGATTCTCTCTATCAGATGAATTGTTATTGTCCATAGAGTCTTCTTTAGTCTAAGTATAATTGGACTTATTCTGCTCAATAAGATTAATCACTTGAATATTGGAGTCTTCTGGTTCAGGTTCCTCTTAAGCCATTTAATTGGAGATTGGATTAAAGACTTAAATAGTTGGTTTTTCAGTCTCCTCAAATATTGCAGATAACTAATAAATATTTATAGTATAATCATATTACTTATTGAATAGATTTCTAAATCTTCATTACTGGAAAGTATAATCCATACATAATATTCTTATAATCTCTAGCTTTCAAAAGTAAAATTTCGAATTATTCTTTATTTTTCTTGAAGTATTCACCAACATAATTGACTTAAGTTGCCAAATTTGCAAGTATTGCAATCATACAAAAACAATAATTCTTATCTTTATCATATTAATATATGATTGCATTCATTATTGATGAACCTTTAACACATGATAATGTCTTAAAAGGTTCACATAATAAACCTTGTAAACGTATTTCTACCAAACCATCATCCATTTTAAACAAGTTTTCAATAGTTTAAGAAAGTGGTTCCAATAATTACCAATCAATTAAATATTCTAAGAATGAGGATACTAACAATGTCATTATATGATAACTTGTACTATGATTTTTCCAACAAATATGTTTGATCATATCAATCAAATTTGGTTGGAATTAAATCATAGCTAATATGTATTTTTTGAAATCATCACTTTCTAATAATCTTTTTAACCAAAATTCATCAATATTTAATTCTTTTTATCCTTTGAATAGATAAGTTGGAGCATCCTCGTTTAAATCAATCATACTCTATGTTCTACAACTCATTATCACTTTAGCAATAATATCACTGATTATCATTAATGGTTAATCTGTGTTATTAGTTTACAATTACTACAATTTTAATGATGTACCTATTTGTACTTCTGATACTTATTCTTATAATAATTAATAAACCTATTTAAAATATTCTTGCTAATAAAAGTATTTCACTAATAGTTGATTAGTAACTAAAATATATTTAATAACTTAAAAGTATTCAGTTCCTCTTCTAAGAGTATTTTTTACTATTCCTAAAAGTGATTTTATATAGAATTAAAGGAATCTACCTATACATGAATCTTCAAATAAATATTATTGTTCATATTCTATAATTATAGTTATTGATTGAATAATCAATTATGCAAAGGCATTTCTAACATCTGAATATGAAGATTCTATCAATAAATCAATAATTAATTATTTTTGATTTCTTAATAAATCTAAAAACCAGAAATTAGCAGCTGGTTCTTATTTGTACATATCACTTAATATCTAAATATTATATTAAAACATCTATTAATCTTTATTCCTAAGTAATACTTCATAAGTGAAGAAAGTTAATAATTTAATCATTCTCAAAGATGGAAGAGTATCCAATTCATATAAATTACTTTCTTTAGATAATAATTGAGTCACTTTAAATTGATTTTTGATTTACAATGTTTATACAAATGTTTAAATGAATTTCAAGTAATCTTGAGCACAAAATAATTAATTCTTCAAATAATCAGTATTTTCACTTATTACTTATTAAATCAATAATTCCTCATTTGTACCTCTCATATATAATTATTCAGGAATATTATGTTTTACTTTCTCATAGAATAAAATATAAGCATTTTTACTATTACTTATTCCCCATTCTGATAAATTATTATTACCTCCTCCAAAACATTCAGTTTTTAAATTCTCTATTTTAAATGGACAAATAACTTTATCATTAAACTCATACCATTTATCAACATCTCGAATAAATGAATAATAATGTCCTCCTTCTGCACCACCAACATGTACTAATACTCCTTTAAGTATGTACATATAATCACTTTAATCTTAAATTTCCATATTTTCAACTATATGATCACGTGTCCATTTAAACATATTTATTTCTTAAGGGAATTCAAAATAATCATTTATTTTAATTCTTAACATTGTATTGTAATCAAATTCAAATCTTTTTAGATGGAAAATGAATGTATTAGGTAATTTCTTAAAATATTATCTCTTTTAAACATCTATCTTTCTTTATACTTCTTCACATAAATATTTATTCTCTCCATCTAAAACATCTCCTTTAACAAATAAATCTAATGCTTCTTCAAGACATTTCTTATGTTTAATATCTACTGAAACAGTTAAAAATGGTTCTTCATTTTCTCTTCTAAAATCATAATCAGGTTCTAATGATTTAATTTCATTTATTAATGTACCACCTAATATTTAAGGTATTAGATTTGATTAATTAGTAAATTTCTAATCCTATTCTAATTTATCAGTTATTAAATTAAAAAATTCATTACAATCTTATTAAATAAGAACATTGATAACTTCTCCATCAAATCCCTTTAAAGTTTTAATCAATTAATGTGGATTAATATATTGTTTTACAGATTCTTAGAGTTGAATGAATACTAATTATAATTAATGTAAAGTATGATCTGTTAATTTACGTTGTAAAGTAGTTGAATCAATAGCACTAATATTATCAAAAATGAGAGGAGCCTTCATTTCAGTAATCATGATCTAACCATTTAAGATCCCTTTTCTTAAAGGTAAATTCATATAGAATTATTATAATAGAGAATTAATATAACAAGTAGCTCCAAGATTTCTTAATCCAACAAAACCATGTGAACCTTTAACTCCCAAATCCATATCTACTTCATTGATATCAAATTTTAATTAATGATGACTTTAAATCAAAGGTAACATCACTTATAAATGAGTTTCATCTTTACATAATTCTAATAATAATTAGAATACTCTCTTTCTAGTTAATTTTCTTTTATAAACAGGATATTTATAATAATCATTTTGCATTTCAAATAAACATTAATATAAGTATTTTGTAAATTCAATATTTACTTTAATGTTTTTATCAACTTATAATAAAGAAGTCAATAATAATAGATTACCTTATAATAATTTATCTTCATTTTCAATGAATCTTTATTCAATAATTTCTCTATTTGAAATTAATGATATTATTTATTAAGCCAATTAATGAGTATCAAATAATGTTAAATCATTCACTTAACAAATTAATCCAGCAATCACTAAATATAATTCATCATACTAAGTTTCTGCTTTTATTAAAGCCTTTAAAATATCATTACTTAAATTCACATCATTTTTCTTTCCAATATCTTGAAGAGTAAGAATAAAATAAGCTGTCATTTTTCTTTATTCTTCATTTGGATTATTTAATAATTGAACTAATCTATTAATAGGCAATTCAAATTTAAGTAATTAAGGTCTCATATATAAGATACATAAGATATTTGTGTATATTTATTCAACTCCAATTCTTTGAATTAGAGCATCTAATAATACATCCCATTCTACATCTAATTCACAATTATAGAATACTTTTTATAATAGATATGCTTCATCATATCCTTAAATATTTGGTTTGTCTTATTTCTATAGTTATATACTCAATAGACTACATATTTTAGGATCTTCATCTTTCTATTATATAGCTTACTTTAATTTTAATAATTATAAGAATTCAATTTAATTCATCATTAATCTACTCATTGAATAAGCAGAAAAGTATATTTAGAATATATCTAAAATTATGATTAAGATTTCAATTGGATTGTCTAATNAAAAAATTCATTACAATCTTATTAAATAAGAACATTGATAACTTCTCCATCAAATCCCTTTAAAGTTTTAATCAATTAATGTGGATTAATATATTGTTTTACAGATTCTTAGAGTTGAATGAATACTAATTATAATTAATGTAAAGTATGATCTGTTAATTTACGTTGTAAAGTAGTTGAATCAATAGCACTAATATTATCAAAAATGAGAGGAGCCTTCATTTCAGTAATCATGATCTAACCATTTAAGATCCCTTTTCTTAAAGGTAAATTCATATAGAATTATTATAATAGAGAATTAATATAACAAGTAGCTCCAAGATTTCTTAATCCAACAAAACCATGTGAACCTTTAACTCCCAAATCCATATCTACTTCATTGATATCAAATTTTAATTAATGATGACTTTAAATCAAAGGTAACATCACTTATAAATGAGTTTCATCTTTACATAATTCTAATAATAATTAGAATACTCTCTTTCTAGTTAATTTTCTTTTATAAACAGGATATTTATAATAATCATTTTGCATTTCAAATAAACATTAATATAAGTATTTTGTAAATTCAATATTTACTTTAATGTTTTTATCAACTTATAATAAAGAAGTCAATAATAATAGATTACCTTATAATAATTTATCTTCATTTTCAATGAATCTTTATTCAATAATTTCTCTATTTGAAATTAATGATATTATTTATTAAGCCAATTAATGAGTATCAAATAATGTTAAATCATTCACTTAACAAATTAATCCAGCAATCACTAAATATAATTCATCATACTAAGTTTCTGCTTTTATTAAAGCCTTTAAAATATCATTACTTAAATTCACATCATTTTTCTTTCCAATATCTTGAAGAGTAAGAATAAAATAAGCTGTCATTTTTCTTTATTCTTCATTTGGATTATTTAATAATTGAACTAATCTATTAATAGGCAATTCAAATTTAAGTAATTAAGGTCTCATATATAAGATACATAAGATATTTGTGTATATTTATTCAACTCCAATTCTTTGAATTAGAGCATCTAATAATACATCCCATTCTACATCTAATTCACAATTATAGAATACTTTTTATAATAGATATGCTTCATCATATCCTTAAATATTTGGTTTGTCTTATTTCTATAGTTATATACTCAATAGACTACATATTTTAGGATCTTCATCTTTCTATTATATAGCTTACTTTAATTTTAATAATTATAAGAATTCAATTTAATTCATCATTAATCTACTCATTGAATAAGCAGAAAAGTATATTTAGAATATATCTAAAATTATGATTAAGATTTCAATTGGATTGTCTAATTAAAATAATAGTAATTTTAAGCCACCATAATGTAAAAAGTTTTCTCTTAATGTTTTACGTTTTTCATATTCATCTTAATCTTCAATAAAATCACATTACAATTATTCTTTAAGAATTTGTAAATGATATTATAATTTATATTTGTTATCTACTAACAATAAATTACACCAATCTGTTTATGATTATTCAATTAATTCATATACTTCTTTATTTCTAGGAATTATTTATAAGATAGACCAAATTTTAGTATTTTATTCTTGATTTTCTTAATTAAGTAGAATGAATAATTAATCAATATAATTATTTGAGATTAATGAAGCAAATGAGATTTCATCAATTTATTATTTCATTATAGGTTTTTATTTCTTAACCTAATGATTCTTTTATTAGTATTCTAAAAGTAATTGATCTCCACGATCCAAAATATCACATATTGCATTTTCTACTTACCAATTCTTTTCTTTCAATACAGAAATTATAAAATCTTTGTCTTACATTTAAACAATTTACATAATTTCTTACACTTTATCATCTGCATCACTTGGTACATATTCATTTTATATCTAATTAGTTGTACTATTATATGCATTAATTTCATCTGTTATAATTTCTCGTTTTGATATTACAAATGTCAATTTTTAATTAACTTTGTAATCTTTAAGTGTTTTATTATCATAAAATAAAGTTCCTCTACAAAATATGTCAAATTCATCTGGTTTCAATGATGGATTTAATTTCTATCCAATTATTTATTTAGCTTATTATACTGTTAATCCACTTAATAATTAAATATCTTATCTCTTTGGAGGCATAGCATCCATACATTTATTATCAATTGTTACAAATACCTTTTCACCTTATTCAACCAATTTATATCCTTCAAATTCTTCTAATAATTTGATTATGAATGATAGAGAATTGGGATTATCAATTTAATTAAATAATTACACTAAGTATTATTATTTTAATTTATTTAAAATACTCTATTATTATTTAAATCTTAATAGTCTAATGAAGAATTCTTATAATTAAGATCCCAATTTCTCTTATTATTTAAATATCTTCCATAATACTTATAATCCAATAATGTCTGCATCCAGAATTGTATATTAATCATATTATAATTTCATTACTTTATATTAAACATTGAAATATAAAATTAAATTTGTTAAACATTATAACATAGATTAACTAAGAGATGAACATTTAATAGTTGATATAAATAATAATTCTATAGCCTCTTAATCTAAAAATTTTTTATTAACATCTCCTACCCAATTAAAAAAGAGATCTCTCTCTTCTACACATTTTGCATTTTCTACTAACAATTTCCATAATATCATTAATTAATCTCTTGTGATTTTTGAATCTTAATGAAGAAATTGATAAAATTTAACAAATTATTCAATTGTTTATAGATAATAATCTTTACTATCTCTTTTTAGCAATTTTAATTTTTCTCTACCCATTACTCTTAAAAAGTTTAATTTAATATCATATTTATCTTAGATCCATTTCAACACATCTTTAGAATTAGTAAATTTATCTAATGGATAGGATGATGAAATAATCTTTTATAAAACAGTAATGTAATTACAAACAGGTAATGGTTATTCTTTAGCAATTAAATTTGAAAATCCAAGTAATAAATATTATTATCTTAATGATTTAAATTAATGACAAATTAAATTGATAGCAATTATTAAAGCTGACTAACCAATTTCAGTAGTTGGTTATTCATGTACTATATTCAATAAGAATTCAACAATTTAAGATTTTAATTTTATAGCCTTTTCATTATTACAATATTCTATAATTTCATTATTATTTTATTCTATTACTTTATAATCTGTGTCAATTTATTAATACTTTCTTTAACCACTCATTCTCTCATTCTGTATTACAAATTTATCATCATCATTTCCAATTCCTTTATTGTAATTATTATCTAAATCTTATCTTAAATATTTGTTTCTACCCAAACTTTTAATAAAATTAAGTCCATTTTAATCTATCTAATTCTATTATATATTTTATATTAATGTTTCAACATCTTCTAATGATAAGATTTCTGCTAAATCTGTAAGTAATTTAGATATCATATTATCCCATGTTTCATGTTTACCTTTTCCTAATCTTAGAATACACAAGATTTCATCTTTACTTAATTTATGATGCAAATATAGAAATTGAATTATTGGAAAACTTCTTTTAATTAATTCAAAATGAGCTTTTTCTCCAAATAACTCTTAAAATACTTAATTATCTACTATGTATTTTAATACATTATCATTTTTATACCATTCATCCTATACATAATATTATTGACCCATAAATTCATTAGACTAAGCAGTATTTATTTTATCACAAAATTGTTATAATCCTTAAATTGTTTTAATAATTTAATACCATAAATTCTCTTCTCTAAAGCTGTGCAACGGAAACATTATAAATATACACTCATTTCAGCCATAGCAATCAACTCTTTTTTCTAAGAAGAATTATAAAATTAATCAAACATATTCTCTATTCCATCAGTCAACTTTTTAATTGTATCTCTATTAGAATTCTTTATTTCTTCTTCTGTTAATTTTGATGTCAAATTCTAAAACTCTAAATGATGGAAATAATTCAAATATATCTATCTATCCAATAAACAATAAAGATATTGGAATATGGGAAAGATATCTAAATAATTTAGATTAAAATTCCTAATTGCATCATCCAATAAAGCAAATCCTCCATTCTTATAGAAATAATGAACTTATATTCTTTAAAATGGAGAAAAAGTTAACACATCATAATTCAATCGAAAAGAATCTAAAATCTCCCCCTTTAATGGATAAAAAGACTTGGAATTATAGGGTTCTGTATATTAAACATTATTATAGCCTTCAGCTTCATAGCTAACACCATGATGCAATCTTTCACCATAAAAGTCATTTAATGTATCTATATACACACTTAATTCACGAATTTTACTCACATAGAGAGAATTACTTTGGGTAGAGTGCAAACGTTTTAAAAGTGCTAAAGAAATCTGAGGATATTCTTTCCATATTTTAAGACTGACCTTTTGAACTAGAAGTAGGATCTCATTGATGTAGCATTAGATCTTTAATTTGCTGGTTTCATTTAGACTAGTTAGAAAGAAGGTCAATACACTTTATCTAGAGTGACTTCTATCATTGGCTAAAGACGCTTATTGACATATTGATTTAGGTCAGGGACAATGAGTGCTCTATCTAAGAGAATGGCTTTTAACTCAATCTCAAGTTCAGACAAGTATTCCATCCATTTCATGGTATAAACTTAATTTAGATGTGATGGCTACATGTATGCAATTGGGAAACTTTGCCTTGATGCAATGCATCATTTAATTCTATTATTTCAACTCCATTTTCAAACTTCTTGATTTTCTATACATCATAATATATATCACTATAGGTAGAGACTTAAATATATTTTTTTGGTTATTGTTATTTGAATCCATAATCTTCAACATCTCCTTGTAGATATTATTGATTCATAATATAATTTAATATTATTTATGATATTAATTTTCATAACTCTTAAAAGAGCACTTTTAATAACTAAAACTGTTTAAATATATAATAATAAAAGGAATATAGTAAATAATAATGTAATACCATTTATTTATATATATATATAAATACTAAATAATATAATATAAATACATTAAATTAAAATTTTTTACTAATTCCTCACTCTTTTTCAAAATGGGAATGTGCATTTCAAATAGAAAAATGTAAGATCATAAAAATACTATGCCCAATTCAGAATTACATATAAGTTATAAATCTTCAGTTTAATAATTAAAATCTATATATCTTGATGCTGATTAAGTTTTGATAGATGAAATATCTAATGATGTCAATTAAATAGCATATGAAAAATAAAAACGGAGTTTCGTTTAAAGAGAAGTTCCAATATAATTACTCTCTGAAAAAAAACATAATACTAATTAGATAATTTTTGAACCCTTATTTTATACTCATCGAAAAGTTCCCATTCTTTCATCTAATGAGAACACAATTATTCAAAAAAGAAAAAGCATATAAAAATGATGAGTTAATATATATTTTCAATTGATTCAGTCAGAATAGAATATCAATTATTTTATTGTATTAAAATAATAGAATCATAATATATTAAATATATATTAATATAATGTTAGAAAAGAGAGATAATTTATGTTCTCTTACATATACATGTATAATAACAGTCTGTTATTTGGGAGCTATAGGATTATGTAGAACAGTGCTATTCTCAAATATTTTAAAGATAGATGACAAAGTAATAAACTCAGTTTCATTGGGAATATTTAGTCTCATCTTTTTTATTGGACCTTTTTCATTACCTTTCTTTTAAAAGATGATACTAAAATTTACTTACAAGTATCTAATAATATTTGATTCAGAGCAGTATTTTTTATCACTAGTGTAGCCAATATCTTTAGTATGACCTTATACATTGTAGTGATAGAACAATAACCAAAAGATGTTTATTTAATTACAACTATCTTAATATTTGAAGCATTATCAGCTCCTTTTATGGCAATCTTCTATTGTTCATTCAATTATTATATTCGTAGTATGTCCAATAAGAATAATGTTAGTATTTATTTTGGAGTAGCCTATTCATTATTTTGTATGTAAAACTTTGTAGGTGATATTTATGTAATATTTGAAAGTAAGATATACTAATATAATGAATATTTCTATTATCCTATGTTAGGTGTATCTTTAATAATAACATTTTTATATTGGTTTATTAAAGAACCAGATTCATTGTCTAAATCAGTTACAAAACAAAGTATTGATTTATAATAGAAATTAAATGAACATTTATATGGTTCATTAATGGATGATGACAATTAAAAGAATAATACAAATGATAATGAATATATCAATTAATTTAAACTAATTTGGAAGATACCAAAATTATATCCTTAATTTATATATCTGATACCTACCATAATTTCTATTGGAATGTTCACTGCATTTAGTGTAGTTTATTCATAGGATATGATAGAACCTAACTATACAAATGTATCTTAATTGAAACCAGCCATAGTTACTAATCTAAGCATTCATGGAATTGGTTAATTCTTAGGAGGAATCCTCATTGGATTACTTTCATATTCCTATGGTTACTTGAATTTATTAATAGGATTATAGATTTTTGGAGCAACCACCTATATTTTATCTGTAAATTGATTGTATTAATTAAGGATTGTTGGTGAAGCAGATGAGATCAATAATAATAAGAATAGTTTGGTTTATACTTTCAATTTTATGTCTGGATTATTAATATCTGCTGTTCAAGTATTGACATTCTCTTATTGTGGATCTGAATATATTGAAAATAAAAATGTACTCTAATTATGTAATTGGATTTATTGTTGGAGTTTCTATTTCTTTACTGTTGTTATGAGTATACCTAATATACCAGGGACTTTCAATGAATATTTAATTATTAGTGTAAATGTATTTGGATCATTTATACTTGTATATTGTATATTGAATTTCATATGTTTATGGATCTATAAAAGGAAATTCTTATAATTACGAGAAAATGTATGAGTGAATATATATATGGTAATGAATTTATAAATATATAATATATAATTATATGTACAGGTATAACTTCGAACAAAACACCTAACATAGAATAGAAATCTTAGAATTAAATGATGAAAAATGTAAATTTAGTTTTGAAGGTGATTTGTCTATTGCAAATGCTATAAGAAGAGTAATGATAGCAGAAGTTCCTGTAAAATTTTGGACTAAAATATTAGGTTATGGCAATTCATTTTGTTGATATTATTGAAAATACTAGTCCCCTATCAGATGAATTTTTAGCTTAGAGACTTGGTTTAATACCATTAGTTTCATATGATGCTGATAGCAAAATGTATGATTGGGAAGCTGATGCAGATTCAATTGATGATCAAAAAATAAAAGTAGTCTTTACATTAAGACAAAAAAATCTAAATGATACTCCCTTAGAAATTACAAGTTAACATCTTGAACCAGAATTTGGATAAGTAGGTGAAATGGCAATTCGACCTGTTAGAATGTTTTCACCAATAAATGGAAAAGAAGTTGGCATTCCTATTACTAGATTAGGAAAGAATCAATCTGTTCATGTTCGATGTCATGCACTAAAAGGTTTTGGTAAAATGCATGCTAAATGGAGTCCAATTAATATTGCAACATTTAGACATGAACCAGGTAAATATATCATTATATATATATATCTATAGAAATTAATATGGATCAGACCTAATTATAATCTCTGTCATTTTTTGAAAAAAATGCAATTAGAAATTCATGTCCTATGAATGTTTTTGCTATGGATGCTAATTAAGATCTTATTGTTAATGATATTGAAAAGTGTGTGTTTTGTGAAGAATGTATTCGTTGTGTAATTATATATATATAATAAATAGGCTGAATCAATGAAAAAACCCAGATTGATTAAAATGCAACATAAAAAAAATAAATATATTTTTACTGTTGAAAGTGCTGGCTAATTAAAAGCTGCTGATATTGTAAAAAAAGTAAATTCATATTAAATATTTAGGCCTTAATTGTTTTAAGAAAAAAGGTTGATGAAATAACTTAAGATCTAAGTTTTGCTTAATAATAGTAACAGATATGAAAATTAATTTTATTATTATTGTCTAGTATATATATAATGTATATAAAATTTAAATAAGTCTATAATCAGTTCCTAAATAAAATTTACATCTAATAATTATGCTATCATATATGTCATTAAATTCTAAAGACAGTTTGGAAGAATTTCTTTAATTATATCAGTGTAAAGATTCAAAGAGAAAACCTATGTTGAAAAAAGAGCGAGAAATAGTTCAATATTTGAAAGGACTAGGTCTTCAAATGAAAACTGATCCACTTTAAAAACTATAACGTATAGCTAAGTATATCATTTATATCAAATTAGTTTTGCTATTTAACTTGATAATTCACCTGATTCAAACGATGAAATTATACTTGAAAGAAAATAACTGCATAGTGATGATAAAGAATTCAATATATCCAACAATCCTTTAATCAATAGAGGAAGTAGAAAAATAATACGCTCTTTCTCCTTTGAAAATAAAGATCAAATTTTAAATGATCAAAATGATAATGTTGAATAACATTAGTTTGACTGATTAACTATAATATTATAAACATTTAGCTAAATATTGGATTTATTTTCTACTTAAATATTTCAAGAAAATTCTTAGATGATTTAATTCTTTTCTTATTTTTTAAATATTGTGAATGAATAAGTTTGATAATATTGATTGATTGATTAATTATCAAATGATAATAAGAGATTATTAATTAATTAAAAAAAAATGATTTTTATGAATAGTCTATTTCTATTTTATATCGAATATTAGATTGTTGATCATATTTCAAATTAATTATCTGTTAATTAATATTTTCTATTAAGCATCAATCAAATCATTTATAACATCAAAAATGAATTCAAATTCTAATTCAAGTCTTCTAAAAATGAATAAAATTAAATTTATTATATATACATAATGATTTCTAAAATTGAATGCTAAATACATAAAGGAGAAAAATTATCTGCTATTTGTATAGATTCTTTTTGTGTTGCCAATACTTATTGTTGTCCTCTATGCATCAAAGAATTACACAATGTACATGATCATAAAGTAGTGTCTCTTACCTCGATACAATAATTTATTTCTAATCAAGAAAATATCAAAAGATAAAATGATGAATTTACAGCTGTCAAATAATAATTAATTGCCAATAAACTACAATTAACAGAACTTACAGAAATTATTGATGCTAAAATAGAAAAATTAAATAAAAATTAGCTTAACTTCAATTTATCAATAGATTAATTAATGAGTCCTGATTCAGAAGATTTACAAATACTCAAAATATTACTCAGTCAATATGAAATTTATAATAATGAAGTCATTCGAATAGATGAATAAATTAAATCAAAGATGGAAATGTAAATATCTTAATTAATTACTTAAATCAATTTTTTAACTTCTGAATATACTAAAAAAATCAAATAAAATCTATCCAAACTTTCAGTAGAGTAATTTAAAGAAGAACTGAAATTTTCAGATATCAATAAACATAAACATATACAATTGAATGAAGGTAGAACAGCTACACTTACATAATAAATAGGTTATGCAGTCATATATAGTGAATAAAGCTTTGATCCTTTAAAAGAAAGCTTCAAATGTTCATTCTTAATTAATGTAATATATTCATCTATATTTACTTAGAAACTATCTTATGGTATGGTTGGATTTGGTTCCTTAGAAGCAAGTAAATAAATGAATTATTAAATTTATGATTTCTCCAAAGGACATGGTTTCTATGCTCTTCATAACACAGGTGTCATTTATCATAGTGATGATACAACCATCAATAACACCAAAATTAAGCCTCTTACATTTGATAAAGCAGATTCAATTGTGTGTTACTATAATGCTCAATTTTAATCATTTACCTTCTATAAAGAATCAGATAAAAATGAAAATTATACAATGAAACTGAATGATCTTTCTAAGAGATTATATCCAGTTGCTATTCTCTTTGGTCCAGGTGATTCAATATCATTTATTTGAATGATATATAAATGAATTATTTATAATTTATAAATATAAACAGGTAATAAAAAATGAATTATTTATTTTATTAATAATTATGCTTTCATTTTTTATGAATATTTATTGTTTCATAATGATTGATTAATTCTTCTTAAAAGTTTAGATAAATTTATTTATATAATTTTATTCTTTCATAAATGATTATACATTCAATAATAATATATATTGAATATAACTAACTATTCATGAATAAGCAAATGTTGTCAGAAGAGAGATGAAATATTAATTTTTAAAATTTTTCAATAAATTTAATAATTATTTTAATTATTAATAGAAACCACAAGTTATTAAAAGAATTCAATTCAATTTTAAGGGTGAACATCAACAGCCCTTTGTTAATAATGAAGGAAAATTAAAAACGAAAAAATGAAAAGGCTATGTTAAAAAAATTTACCAAATAATATTTTAATCCAGTCTATTTATTTTCAATATGAAAATTTATATCTCTATTTGTAAACATTTATACAAGAACTATAACAGGATTATATTTATATTTATATATAAGATGCATTATGAAATTCAAATATATTGATATATTAAACCCTACTCTCATTTTTTAGAATGACTTATTATGTATTGGATGATAACTAAAACAATAGGAAATATAAAGTAAAAAAACTATTTACTGCCTAATATATTTTTAACTTCTTTTTCTTAGTTACTAAGTTAAATCTTTAATTCAGAAATCTCCTTTTCTTATTTTATATTGCTTTGAGTAAGTTATTTCAAAGGTAGTGCAATATCTTTCTCAAGACTCAATTTTAATTAATCAGAGATATTTTCTAATTTTTTTTAATGGTTTGAATTTAATGATAACAAATTAGAAATATCTTTTTCATGTTCCAATAGTGAATTAATTTAAGCATTTTCTTATTCTTAATTGCTTTTTATAAGTTATTATAAAAGCGTAATTGATTTTTCAAGATCCGATTGTAAATTATTAATGGTAACATTTTATAATTTTGAATTGCCTATAATGTATTAAATCTATTGAGAAATTTTATATTCAAGATTGGATTGTAATTAATTAATACAAGCATTTTATTATATTTAATTTGATTGAGTAAGTAATTCTAAACTAGATATACTTGATTATAAATTAATAATGTAAGCACTTTGTGTCTTCATTTGCAATTCAATTTAGTTAGAATTCTAATTATACTCTTCAATTTACTTTTTATACTCTTGAAGTTATATTTTACATAATTCAAGTTCTTATTCTAAATTAATAACATATTAAAAGAATTATTTTGAGTTAAAATCTAATTCAGTACAAAATTTTATGTCGTCATTAACTTAATTGAAAAATATAGTTTAAAATTTAATTTCAAAATTATAATATAGCTATTAGTAATATAAATTAATTTAATCTTTAGTTGTTTTAAGTAGGTGTGTATCTATATTACCAAAAATATAATTAGGATTATTAGGGTTTAAAAATTGATTTAATTAGTATTACTCTAAAAATATTGCTTTTTCTTTTTGTTTTTCATAATTTTAATAGTAATCTTTTTAGATTTCATTAATTTTTGATAAATTTTTATCAATTGATTGTTTTATATCAATACTATATTTCTTTTTTAGTTATTCAATTTATTCTATTTTTTCTGCTTATTCTTTCTAAATTATAGCAATATTCTTAATATATGTTCCTAATTAATGTTCTTTATGTTCTTCTGAAATACAATGTATACACTATAATTAATATGGATTTTTCTCTAAACAATTTGGATGAGTACATAACATTTTCTATTTACTTAAATGCTTTTAACACTTCTCAAATTAATATTCTTTAAGATTATCAGATTCTATCTAATAATTTATGAAAGAAAATTTTAGAAATTGCTCTC